AAAAAAATGAATTTGTTTTTTGTTATATGGTAGCTTTCTATGATAGAGGTAAACAGACAAGCTAGGGGTCGACTTAATGATATTTGAAATACCCCAGCCGAAAAATGTTATAATTTTGACAAGATGCGCTGTCGGTCTATTTTGGCTTTGGCTATTCGTATAAGTAAGTTTAAGTTTTATACATCGCTTATTTGTCTTTAATTGCTCTAGAGATTTTAATTTCTTTTAAACAGTTAAAATTGTCTAGGAGCAAGAAATACACACGTAGGTATATCTTCTACATTTTAAGTACCAAGTACCTATTTACATAATGCTAGTGTTATTTATATTACTTATATTATTATACGTACCTCTTCTTATGATATATATATTATAAAATATAAGTAATATTCATGAATAAGCCTATAAGAGTATTTGTATAGAATTCTTCTAAAAACAACCACTTTTAATCCAACGCTTAGTGTTTCTGAAATATAAAGTGTACTATTAACGTATTTAATAACTCTTTATATATGTATATTAAAATGAAGGAAAAATACTTAAAAAACAAAAATAAAAAATTTAAAGTTATTTAAATAAAACACTTTAACGGTTTTAAACGCGACATATTAGTTAAACTCATTTGGAAATGATTTTTAACTTCGGCCCGACGTTTCGGATGCTTTGCAGCAGCCGTAACTAATATATCGTGTTGTAAACCGTTAAAGTCTTTTATTTAAATGTGTACTACTCGCGTAAACTATAGACAGTATTTAATTTAAAGTTATTTGTATCGAGCGACATCATCGCTGAAAGCGTTCTCTTCCGAGCAAGCCTGGTTTGAAAATACGTGCAAGATGTGCGAAGCTAAAAATTATTATTGCAACCTAAAACACGATTCAAGTTTGGGGATAGAGGACGAAAATAGAAGTTGTCTTAAAGAAGGACAGTGACGAAGATTTTCTTAAACGCAAGTTGGGAGGAAAGAATCTCAAATTTTAGTGTTAGAATTATAAATTTGATCTAGTTATCATTTGTCAGCGAATGTTACATATTTATTTACATTCTTATTCTTCTTGATCTTATTCATTATGAATAAAGAATGACTCGAGTTAATTATGTCGAAATACAGTTCAAATCTGATCACCAATTTACCCCATTTCAGAAGCTTAAAGTGTTCAAAAGTCGGGCAAAAATTTGGTTTTTGTTATCGATACTACCACGTTTAACAATAATATTGTCTAAACTTTTTTTTATTTTACTGTATATCTGTAATTTAGAATAAATATACAAAATATAATGGCTCCCCCTGTTTCAAAATATAAAAGTCTCCCTGTAACTGACATTGACATTTTATCATTAAATAATTGTTTTAATACTGTCTACCGTTAATATAAGTCCTATCAATGGATATTTAAATTGGTGTTTACCTAAGAAGGCAAAAAGTATTTCAAAGTTGATATTCTTCAAAAATTTCTTTGTAGCATTACGAACGATTTAAATTTAACTAAGTAATCATTTTATGTCATTGCTATAGGGCCATAATAATACCGCATTTGAACGACATTTTCGTGACACTAGTGACATCTTTATATTTTCTCTAGAACTAAACTAAATCTGAAATGTCGTATTTTTCTTACTTTACAGCTTCCTAAGGAGGTGGCGTTATAAGCAAAATATCTTTTATTTTTAACCGCTACCGACAGATGGCGGCGATAACGTTTAACATTTATGTATTTGCAATATTACACTAGATGGCACTGCTCCGTTATCACTGGCACTGTAAATCGCGCAGGCAAGATTTCTTCCAAATAGTAGAAGTAGTTTTGCTAGACAACTTTTCAGTCACTCTGGTTTCCCTTCAAAACGTATAAATCTTTCGCCTTTTACTAAAGATTTCCGTGGAGGGGAACACTCAAATGAGTCTAACTCAATTTTTGACAACCTCACTTCGGTGAGGTTCTATAATATCATATCTGACGCAGTATCAGTCTGGCCGGGAATCGAATCGGCTACTACATTGCTACATGAATTAATCGAGCTTTCTTGAAAAGCTGGGTACCACCGGTTCACGTAGTGTGTTTACTTAAAAACTTTAAATGGTTAAATTCATTTGAATTAATACTTTGCGACAGCCGTAGTCACAGGGGGGCAAAGTTCGGGGCTTGGTTAAAGAAAATGATCTAATTTATTTCGCGATTAAAAGTGTTATATTTAATAAATTTATCATCTGCTTTGACATGTACAATAATTAAAAAATCTAAATAAAGTTAATTTTTTGGTAAAACATCAATACTGGCATCTAATCTTATTCCACCAATTGTCACAATATCCTTTCTTTAGTCTAAATAGTTTTATGAACATGAAATATTAAGATTGTTCTAATGTGTGTAATTAAAACTTAATAATCTCGTAGTTACTTTATACGTGGTTATATGTCAACGCTTCATACACACTCGAAGTAACAATCTTAAAAAAATAAAACAAATGAGAGTTATTGTTATTTATTTTAGATTAAAATAATGTTTGACTAAAGAAACTTCAACACTTTTCAATGCAGAAGAAGTACTTTCGTACGTTACTTTACGTACGAAATAATTTAGACAAATTACTACATTTAATACCAAAACGTAACGGAACTTTTTATTTACGAGACCAACTCGCATTTTAGGTATGTTTGTTTAAAAAATCAATTCGGTTGCACAGATTGTTTCCATGGAATGGTGTTGTCTTTGTTATTGTTGTCGAGTCGAAGCAATACTATAATTAGCCTCAAGTGATCAGACAGTGACGATGACTGAGTCATGACCACGTCACGATCCGATCCGGCTTTGTTCTACGCACACACACGCGGCGTTTGAAATACATCCAGTTGTGTGTGGTGCAAGTAAAGAGCTTTTTATGATAGAAGACAAGCGTGGGTTCACTTAATAAAAGATGAAATGCCCCAGATATATGAAGCCACTAGAGGCAGAGTGTTCTATGATAAAAAAAAAAAACAAGATTTTTAATAAGGAGGAACATAACAATGCGCAATTAACTAGAAGAAAATGAATATTTGTATAAAAGTTATGTTAACAATTATCGGTCACTGTGCGGTTGTAGATTAATATTTTAGACTATAAACATTTAAATTATGGAAAAAGGAGTGGTGATGGACTTTAGACTGTTACCAATAAAAACACAGCTAACATGCATATTATTTAGTGCATTATTTAAAAAAATACACGCATTTATATTATATTTCTTTACTTTAGTAAGTCTATCGGGATATATAAGGAAGCTATGTTATTACTACATAGGTAGCATATAAGCTGCACATTTATTCGTACTTATTTTAAGCTTTAATTGATAACTACTGTTTATAAAAAAGTTTATATTTCAAACTAGAATAAGAATGTATACTGAAATGTAATTTTATTAACGAAAATTTAATAAATCAACCTCTATGAATGAAATCGCTTCAGCACATGCCTTGGTCCCGATCACGCGAGCATCGCGTGCTACTTTCACGTAACTTGAGTCTGTCGGGAGCAGTCACTCTTGCAGTATTCTCGGCATAGACACGTTTCGTAAGATGACGATGAGGAAATCATAACAAAACATTGACCTAATGATGTTAAACTCGCTTTTTGTTCGTTTTGTTGTGCACAAAATGCGTCGCATTCATTATTAGTCTTATAGGGCGAGTGTTTTGTACATTTCGAACTGCATAACTCACAAAAAAAAACACTTTTAACGGTTTGAAATGCGAAATTTTATAAATTAGTCTAATGTTAGATAATTTATAAACAAATTGTTAATAATTAGTTGACTAATTTCGTATTTCAAACTGTTAACAGTGTTTTATTTAAAAATGTTCTACTCGCGTAAGCCACAAGCAGTAGGTACTCTATATAGTGATAATAATAATAATTCTTCTGTAAACCTTTCTTTGAAGCCGTTTTTATGTTTAAGTAACAATTGCGAGAATCTTTTAAAAGGCTTTGCAACACTTAACAAATAAAAATGTCAGCAATCAGAATTAGAATGAATTCTTATTAAACATTTCAGTATGATTAAAATATATGACTCACGAAGTAAAATCGATTGGTTTTAATTAAATTCCAGTAAATTCTCAGATTGTCTCTTGTTTGCCTGTTGGGCGATGGAATTACGATAGCAAAATACCCGTTCGCCATTGACGGAACCGGTTTTTTAAAACGCATTCGTATTTTATTTACAAAAGCCAAAACACGAATTTCTACCTATATACAGCATTTTCTAGAAAATGAAAGGCAGACATATTACTGTGCTCTTAAATACGGACTGTGAAACTAGTATAGGGCAAGATATTATGTTACCAGGCTTTGAAGATAGGACCTCTCACGCTCCACAGACTATACAAGGCTGCGTGTTTACAAATGAGGCGAAGCGGCCCACATAGGTGTCGTGTGCTGTTGACAAACATAATTATTCAAAGCTCTAGATAAACTTCTATGTAACTGATAGGCAGAGTAGCTTCACTAACAGATATCTGTAATTATTTTATGGATGTTTTGTGACACACTTCGTCATGAAGTATTCTCCGCGCGGTCATTGACACGTCCCAAAATCCAAAGCGTCCACTTCGGGCGATCAGCACTTGCAAGTTGCACGCCGCACGCTGCAGCACGGTGACCTTGCTCGCGCCCGCGCCCCTGCGACGTCATGCGGGGGCGCGCCGGTGACGTCACGCCGCGACCTCGCCGACCGTCACTCGGCGCGCACGTGAAGAGCACGCACCGGCACGCTCCCGCTGCGTGATCGCCTCTCTCCGATTGGTCGCGTCGGCCGCGCCGTCCGCTCCCATTGGCCGCCCGCCTCCCGCGCCCCGCGACGGCGAGTGCCTCGTCCGGCGAGCGAGCGAGAAACGGTTTATTCGTCCGCGGATCGCTGACGATACCGCACGCGCCTCGCGGACAGCTCGCGCCACGCCAACGCAACTTTTGTGAATTAAAAAAGAAAGTTTCCCACCATTGTATGAACGCATCGCGATCACGATGTCCACTATACTCGATGTCTGCGGTCCCCTCTCGCCGCCCTCGACGCCCCCGTTGATGGAAGAAAAAGTGAGTTTCGGAAGGGATCGTTTTTTGCGAATTTTTGTCAATAAAGAATTAATTATTGGCCGATAAGTTTTGGCTTGAAAAAAATATTTTCGCCTTGTGCAATTGAAAGTAAGCAGCGCAGCGCCCGAGCACGCATCGGGCGCGTGTTCTGACTCACTGAGCGTTCACTTACGGTCGCGTTCTCTTTGTCTACAGGTGGAGTCGCCCAAAAATGGTGCACCGAAACGAGCCAGAGAGTCGCCCCCGGCCGGGCTGGTCACCCCCCAACCCTCGGACTCCGAAGGGGAGGAGGAGTGCAGCAAACGACAGCGCTGCGAGCTGGCCCGGTTGCTGCTCACTACGCCTCCGCCGGAACCGTTCGGTGTCTCCCCGCGTCCTTCCGTCATAATGAGGGCTCACAAGGATGGCACTTGTAGTCCCGAACCTCTACCGCCGCCCCCTGAAACGATGAACATCCTCAAAACACTAAAATTTAAAATGAACCGCGGCCACAGTTATTCGCAAGCGAAATACATCGCTACGCAGACACACAGGCCAGCCGCACCTCCGGAAGCGCCCGTAGCGAAAGTGGAAGAAGCGCGGGTCCCCTCGCCCCACCCAGAGGTGCAGGCGAAACAGGAAGAGCGGGTCCCGCAGGCGACCGCGTCGACGCCCGGCTGGGTCCCTCTTGCTCCGCGACCTGCGCCCGCCGTCATAGTCCCCGGCGCCCTTCTTCCCACCACAGCGCTGTGGCTCGTCACGCCGGCTCCGGCCGCCCGGCGAAGACTGTACGAGTGTTCCCACCCCGGCTGCGGCAAGAATTACTTCAAGTCGTCGCACCTCAAGGCCCACGCGCGCACCCACACCGGGGAGCGGCCGTTCCGATGCCTGTGGGTCGGGTGCGAGCGACGCTTCTCCCGGTCCGACGAGCTCTCCCGCCACAAGAGGACCCACACCGGCGAGAAAAAGTTCGCGTGCCGTGTGTGCAACCGCCGCTTCATGCGCTCCGACCACCTCGCCAAGCACGTGAAGAGGCACGCCAAAGAGAGGACCCCACAGCCTCCGGTGCTGCGACTGCTCCCGTCCCCCCCGATCGCCATCCCCGTGCCCGCCGCGCAATGAGCGCCCGACTGTGATCCAGATCTCACGATCGTTAGCTGTAGTACTCTTAAGACTGTCCTATCTACTACTTATAAGTTATATGGTTAATAATGTAAGGTTGAAAATAAAATGAGATTGATATATACAGCGTGTTTGTTTTCACTGCACTGAACACACACTGGTTCCGCTCGGCTGAGTTTCACCGTCGGGGGCCGGCGATATCGACTTCGCGTTTTCCTTTTGAAACGGTCGACTAGAGATCCAGCCCGGTCGAGGCGGGCGACTGTCGACTTAGTTCGACTCACCCGTCGTCTGATAACAATGTATGCCTAAACTCCTCGTTATCAGCTCGAGATATCAGCTGAAACTATTACTTACTTAATTTTTGAAAGAAACCATGAGTTATAGCCTGAAATATGTCATCAAAAGTAACAAACGACACCAATCGCCAATATCCAAAACAATATTAATCTTCAAACAAGTAGTTAGCAGCAAGATCATAAACAAATTTTCGAGAATATACCTAATCACACAAAACCTTATAAAGATCAGCATATTACTTTGATCAAAACACAGTTACTCGTTACGTGAATACAAAATCATCAGCGAACCTTACAAATGCAATATTAGCACATTTCCAATGGTTTTATTCCACTGCAATATTTTCGGTCATCGCTTTTCATTATTTGAACAAACAGACCGACCTAAGTCACGCTAATCCGGATATTTAACAGATGTTAATAGTACATAATATGTTTTTTTCACAAACTCATACATTGTTCGAAGTTTGCTCACGACTTACGATAACCGGCTTACAAACACATTATATGAAAAAGTTCCTATGAACTAATTTATTTAATACATCTATTTTAAATCTGAATGAATTGACGCAATCGCCTGATAGAAGATTACCTTTCCTTATAGAAAGATATTCTGGTTCAATAATGGTCTTATTATAAAAAAACGTAATAAAATATTCCATACTTTTTATAACGGTTCATATTTTGATGAACATTAAATTAAGAAGCGCTTTCGCTTATTTTGGTTTTGGACATACGGAAATCCATAGACTGACAGACATAGAAACGGGAACTTGCATTTATAGCTTTTTATCTGTGGACGAATTTTTGATCAAGATTTTGTAAAAAAAAATATCTGTGGAATGCCATACACAAGACGACAAGGCATTCGATTTTTAAATTTTATTAAAATTAGATTTTCTACATTTGAAAAAAGATGTCCCATTTACATACATAACTTTTATCTGTCGTTTCATAATTAAGTTTAAATAAACTACTTTTCCATGCATTAGTACTAAGTTAGTAACAACCGCATTTACTGAGACCTTATTAGAATGTATTGTTCTCTTATCAGCGCAGTGTTGTTATCTCGCTCCATGATTTTTCTAAGTTCCGCCACTGTTTATTGACCCCGTTGTTCTAGGTAAAACCTGTAATCCGCGAACTATCACAGCGCGACCACGCAGGAGACACGCCTCGTCTTTGTGCTCGTGACGTCACACTTTCTTGATATCACTTCCTAACGTGATAACAGGCCACAATTCGGTTGCACTAACATTCCCTGGGGGCTGTTCAAAATTGATTCCCACAACGGACATAGATTTGTGTCTAAATTGGTCTTGATAAAAACTAAATAGACAAAGCATGACAAACTGCAAAATCCAACGCTTACACGAAACGTCCTGATTTCCAATCCCGGAGAAACTTTTTCATTTGTGGGATGATAGGGCACTTGGTAATAGAAGCGATCGGTGAAACGGACTAGGCAACGTGTGCGCCCCATGCCCCAATCAGGGAACAGTATTTCATAATCGAAAAATAAAGCTAACAATATCTCTTTCTTTAATAAGTCCACATATTCATATTCTTATATAATTCGCGATTTAATTAGTATGTATAAAAGACCGAAAATGACATAGCTTTTTTTTTTATTTTAACGGTTATGCAGATATAATATTAGTCGTATGTAAAACTTAGTCTATAGTTTACGCGAGTAATTCACTTAGAATATTAATTAATTTTATAACTACGACGCGACGTCGAATACTTGTTTCTTACCGGAGTGCTAAAAAAGTATTTTTAATGCATTGCGTAAGAATAAATTAAGAAAACAATAATTTTTAACCATTGCTATTAAATACGAAAAAATACATGTCCTATATATTTCAACTTCAGAAATACCTAATTACCTAAGTATAATTACTGTAAATAAGATAACTAATATATTTCGCGTTTTAAACCGTCACAAGGTTTTTTCACCTAATTACCTATTTCAAATTAGGATTAATGAAAACAACCTTGAGACACTAATCTATCTTACTTGACATGTCTCTACTAACCTAGGCCAACGCGGCGCTAAAAACATTACACCAGACCGGAATCGAACCGAAGGTCGACACGTCAGTATCGCCCTTGGATATTTTGATTATCGGTTTTATCTTAGTTATTCCAGAGAATAAATAAATATTTCTTATACGTTACAGATACGGTTTTCATCCCATCAAATTATTATCAGACTTGCACTACAACTGTCAAATTTTTAATACACTGGTAGAACAACTAAACGATGTAATATTTGTTTTGTCTTGTGTTGTATTTCAAGGTAACTGCATACGATACTTTAATAAAATCCCTAGTGAAGTAAAAACACTGACAATAAATAAGTTTAAATCTATTATAACGTCAATTAATTTTTAAATGATAAAAATGGGATATGAAGGAAGACGCCGCCGCAGAAATCTTGGCAATTAAGAGAAGTGACGGCGAGTTTCTTGCCAGTTTTTCTCGTTCTTCCTACGCCCTCATCTTGGGAACGGGTACTAGCTGTAAATTTAGAGTTTTAAATTTTTAACTCTTTTGACGTTGATAAATGTTCTAAGGTGTGTACAAGAATAAATGATTTTTTATTTTGATTTTGTAGGGTCGTAATTTTTTGTAGAAATTAATTCTATTTTATATTAAAAAAATAATAATAATTTTGATGCACAATTTATCAAAGTTGTGCAGCAAAAGATCGCTTCGATCGAATTCGATATCAATTGATTATAATTTTTCCCTGAGTACAAAATATTACTACGAAATGTTGTTTATAAAAGTCTTTTGTAGTAAGTATTCTTATCTCTTTACGATATTAAATCAGTCTGTTTATATATTATACAAATACATTTTAAGTTAGATAGTATTAGTAACTGTAAATTGAAAGATTTAAGTGCGTCTGTGATTTTAAATCGTGATGTATATACATATATAAATGTAGCTAATAAAAATTTGTCAGTGCTATGTAGGTATATTAGTTTTCTGAACCACATCGTTTTCCTTAGTAGTTATCCTCCCGAATTTTGAAGATGTGTTAAGACAGAAATATTTTTTATCATTTTCTTGATGCATTTATGTGATGATTAAAATTTTTTATTAAGATTTTAATCACCACATAAATTAATTATTAAGATTTGTGCCCCTGCTATCGCTATTGCTTGCGCCCGGGATTCGTATCTTGGCGTTCAAGGCAACGGTTTTACAAGCCGTCAAATTGTTCTTTATTAGTAACGTTTAGCAGCCTCTGCTGGGCACTGGTACTCACTTTCATAGACCCACTATGGTGATCCAGACCGGGCTTATGGAATTTTACTATCGTCACACAATGTGACTGCCTTTGTAGCGCGTATATATTTTTTCAATCTAAAACCGATTTTCAATTAAGTAATCTAGTTACTTTGCCTCTATACTTCATTAAAATAGCACTTCGGACTTCCTACATTTAAGTTATGCGTACAATTTGACGCACCTATTTTGCCCGACCCTGGCTGTTTCGGGTTCACGTTTGGTCAAGGTCCTCTATCTTGTTTGCAATGAAAACGAGTATCCTATTATTATTGTCTATTTTGGCCCTCTTTTAAGAGTGTTTACACTTTACGTGGTTTTAGATTTAAAAAATATTCCCTTCTGTAAAATACTATATACATTACTTGCAACTTATAAAACGCCACTCAGCTCAAGAAGTCCCGGGTTCAAATAATTGGGAAACTATAATGAGATAGCACAAAAGTTTAATATCGCACATGCAAATGTTAAAGGCGACGGGGATTTCAAAGGAAAGAACTCGGTCCGTCTATCATCAGGTTATCTATGTGTTGACTATTTAAACTACAAATTCTACAAATACTTAAGAGGGCAAAAACAGGCATTTTTAAATTTTTTTGATATATTAAATAATGGTACAATATATAAGTTGACACATAAATTTTAGACTGTCCCCTTGGTCGGATATAACATATATTTTATATCCGATCGGCTGTAGAATAGACATAAAATGTATCTATTCCTTGGCCTATGTAAAGAACAAAACATTTATATATAAGTTAGTCTCTAAAATTATTTCAGCTACACAAAATATTCAAACGTCAAGCTTCCAGAGATTTCGAAATAAAATACAAGTAGTAAAGGAACCTTATTTGGCCATTATGGCGAGCGGTTATTTTTATCCCAAGCGGCGACATTAGGGCTATATTTGGAACAATTAATCCAGAAATGTCTATACCATCTGACCTATAACCCACTTAACATGTCGGCTTTGTTCGACCGCCATGACGCATCTAACAAACAAAGCAATTACACGTTACTGTGCTCTGTAATTTGGTCGCGATTTTGAAATTATAAAAAATAAGTAAATGGTAAAAGATACCACTTATACTATAACATTTTTATCCTTTGGTTTAGTTTTAAAAATTAAAACTATTTTTCTAGTAATACTGGTCATGCGACCAACTTAGAAGCAATAATGAATAGTTATTTGCTGGATTTTTATTTTTTTATCTAAACTAAGACATATGTATGTCTGAAAGAGCCTATTTGAAAATCTTATTGATTTATTTCATAAAAATTACAATGTCGTGACAGGTGGGAGCCCAATTCAACGCTGACTAACATAGAACTATACAATTAAACTATGACTTATAACTACCTATTAAGTAATATTAAATATAATTAGTTTACTAGTAGTAT